ACTTCACTATAAGTTTCTTTTAAACACATTTTAATCAACCTAACTAGTTTCATGGGTATCCCAAACTCTATCAGAATATTGTACAATACTTCCCTCCTGGCTGAATCAAAGGCTTTCTTGAGGTCTATGAATAGCTGATGTACTGTTTCATCGTACTCCGTTTTCTTCTCCAATATCTGACTTTAACTGTTCACTTCGTTGGGCCCCTTACGTTTGGCGCCACTTTATTTAGCCATCACTTTCGCCTACACATTGGTCTCCACTTTCATCCACCGCTTCCTTGTTGTCGTCTGGTTCAGGGTAGGGTGTGGGATTACCCTGAATTTGAATTTTCATGGGCGCCAGTGGATTTGGGTGAAATCCACTAATTTGGAACGGAGAAAACAACGGTGGGATATCGATAGGCGGGCGTTTGGGGTTCCGACGGCTCAGACGGTAGGACGAGATTCTGTCTCAGGGCGATTTCTGGGCCTTGCTCGCACAAGGAGATAGAAAACACATGAAACACACACTTCACTCAATACTGCTGCTCTTTATTTGCAGATGTGAACGAGAAGTACCTATTACACTTTTGAATTTGTGTACCGGACTTGGCCAACACCGATTTAACGTCTGGGAGGTTACTACTAACTCCTGTTACTCCTTTTTGCTACTCACTCCTGTTACTCCTTCTTGCTACTCACTCCTGTTATTCCCTTTTGTGCGACTGACTGCTCTGGAGAGGCAGAAGTCCTGACGGTAAGCAGGAACGCCCGGTTTCCTCTCCTCTGAAATTTTGCTGATTGGCTGAACCTAAAATTTGGGTGTTTCTCTCATTTGCATTCAGCCAATCCCTAACAAGATCCATGTTAATTTGGGCCTAAGTACAACACGGTCCCTCTGACAGCTCTCAAATAAATGGAAGTACACTAACAATCGCTCGGTACGCCCCTCCGAAAATTATTGAGACTCGTATCTGTGAAGTCTCAAATTTTCAAAGACTCGCACCGTCGGAGGTAAGCATTGAAATTCCTAGAAAACACAGCGGGATGCTTCCTGCTACGTTTTGGGGGTTTCAAGTGAGCTGCAGCTTGCTTGTCCCTCAGAAAGACCAGATGTTGTCCTTGGCGCCTGCTGGGGTCAATTCTGTATCATCTTGTGTTAACAGTAGTACAGTTCGTTTACATGTAGTACATTGTAATTAAGAATGTAAATTAACAACATTGCTGAGGTTCCTGCATGGTGCGGTTACATACGAATGCAAAAGATCTGATCTGTAGTTGATCTGTTAAGTCGAAACCCACACTGATGATCCCCAATAATTTCATATATATATATGGACTTAACCTTGAGAGAAGTATATTGGATAAAATTTTGTATGAAGCTGATAGCAGTGATATCCCACGATAATTACTACAGTCAGTTTTATCACCCTTCTTGCGCACTGGTATAATAATAGATTCCTTCCACTGATCAGGCAATTTTTCCTTATCCCAAATAGAATAATTAGGTTGTTAATCTTAGAATGTAATATTTCACCTCCTGCTTGAATAAGTTCTTCCTGAATTTGCTCACTGCTGGAGATTTATACCGATTCAATTTTGCAATAGCACTTTCAACCTCAAAACAGCTAGGATCAGGTACTAACGGCTCAGCTGTGTGGATCTCTGTCTGCCCAAAAGGTGGGAATACACGAGCGCGCCGCGTCTGTAACAGGGCATTACAAGTGATGCGCGGAGTGACTTGGTGCACCTCGAACAAGCGACGCGCACGCAACGAACCATCTAAATGGGGCGCGCAAGCCGCGAGCACCTCAGTTCCATTCTGTCTTCTCCGTCCGCACGACCATGGAAGACGAGGAAGCTTTGCTTTTTATAATAATCATTTTCTCCGGGATTCCACGGTACAGGGAATGATTTGTATGCCTCTATGAGCCCCAAAATACCTTCTTCTGACCACTCCATGTTTGAGGCGTGCGCGCTTCACGAGACAAATGGCAACCGAACCCGACCACACTGCGGAAACGATTCCCTTTGTTTTCGTCAGAAAACCGACAGGAACCGGATCGCTGAGCGGCATGTGAGGCGTGCGCTGCGCGTGTTCACAGTCACGTACACACGAGCGAATAAGTCGCGTATCCCGTTCGATCTATTTTGCATTACAACAGCGGCTTGCTCATGTATTCCCACCTTTACATCACTGACCCTAATACGTAATAAAATACCTCGAAAGTTGACGAGATGCTGCCACAACCTGCAGGGCGATGCGAAAATTTTATTCAGTAGATTCAAATGTGTAGTTAATTGAGAATATGTATTTGTGAGAGACACAGCAATACTAGCGGCGCCTTTAAGAAGACTGAAGATTGTTAGTGAAGTTAGCTATGACATTTTTCCTTTCCATGTGGATTCGCAACGTCAGGCTGTCCGTCCGTAAGCGTGAAACAACACAAGATCTCCAGAACGTACTTTCATTGAGATGGATACCGGTACTTCTGAATTTCACGAAGAATATTCTAAACGCGGTTTCATATTTCGTTCAAATCGGAGAAGTTTAACGTTTACTTTACACTAAGTTCTACATGCATGTCTGTCGCTACACTTTCATTGGAGAAGGCAGTGTTACGAACAGACATTTAGAGGAAAATGAAACACACTTTGAGTCCAATACACTTTTTTTGCGAAGTCTTAAAAATAATCAAAAGAAAGGAATATAGTTTTGAAATTAGGTACTGATAACAACCATGACTTTATGAACAAGAACTTAAAAAAGAAAGAAAAACAACTTCATGGAGCCGAATTCATAGAGTCTATCAACTGCTGACTCAATAAGAAATTTATTATATTTTATGGAAACAGACGGTTCATTACCCTCCTCACAAGAGCCCACCACTGGTCCCTATCATGAGCTACATAAACCCAACAAAGCTCCGATGTTATTTATATATGATCCATTTTAATATTATCTTTCCACTTACGTCTAGGTATCCTTATTGATATCTTTCCTTTACAGTTTCCCACGAAAAACCTGCATGCATTCTCCCTCGCTTCCATGCGTGCTACAGACCAAACCCACCTGATCCTTCTTGACTTGATCATTCTAATTGTATTTGGTGAGCAGTACAAGTTATGAAGCTCTTCATTATGCAGTTTTCTTAACATATTCTTACAATATTTCATCCGTACTTAATCCAAAGATTATTCTCAGTGCCCTCTTCTCAAACACCTTCAGTCTGTGTTCCTCCCCTAATGTTAGAGATCAAGTTTGATACACATACAAACTATAGGCAAAACTATGATCTTGATTGCTTAATATTTTCGCTTTTAGATAGCACACCAGAAGATAAAACGTCCTGAACCGAATGACAGCAAGCATTACTCGAATTTAATCTTGTCTTTGAGTTTTTGTGGAAAAAATTTTGATTTGTTACTGTCGATCGCAAGTATTTGAACTGTGCCGCTGTTTCTTTTTCCTTGAATGCGGATACGGAAGACTTTTTGCTGGTAAGCGGAAATAGAACCATGCTCGTAAGCATGTGAAGATTCCACCAAATTCCGTCCGTAAGCATTACCTGTAGGCATAAAATAATTCCAGATTCGCGGAGCGGATTCTCATCAAATTTGATTCTTGCTAGTTTTATTAAATCCTGTCAATACACGGGAGTTGTTTTTTAAATCATACAAAAAACAGGATACATTCTGAGAACTACGAGTGCATGGGCTTCTGGGCTTATCTCGAACCTATCTTTTTAAATATGTTTTGGAGCGTGAACTGATCTCATGAGATGCAGAGAGAAATTCGAATTTCCCATTTGATCTTTCCTTAACCTTTGGCTTCTCACTTCCGTGAAGTTGGTTGCTTAGTTAGATTTTCACAGTTTTTGGACCAGAATTATTACTCTGTGCGTATATTTCGTTACAAGTATATTCGTCAATCAATGCGAAGATGCAATGGTTTTACGATTACAGGCGTTGATAAGAGAAGTGTCTTATTTTCGTTAATATTTAAATCATTCTGCATTTATAGGTCTACTTGAATATACTAGCTATCTGCCTATCTCTCTATGGCTCTACAATATTTTTTTGGACCTTAACATAGTCGATAGGCCTCCTCGATCCAGGTATCAGCCTGTCGCAAGGCCGCTACCTACACACAGGACAACACAAACACAGAATAAATACATATAGGCATCCATGCTTTTAGCGAGATTCGAACCCACGATCCCAGCGTCCTAGCGAGCGAAGACAGTTCATGCCTTAGACGACCCGGCCATTGTGATAGGCCCTTGAATATACGTATATTTTAATTACAATTTAGTCCCACACACGAGCACAAATAGGCGTAATATTTTCAGCTTATCTGAATAAATAATAAATAAATATTTGAGTTTATCGCAATGAACACTGCGCATACCGTAGATACTGCGGCAGTATGCCACCCACAGCCCCCTGCAAAATGCACATCTTAGGGCCACGCTGCATGCTCTTTCAATTTTGCTTATTCTTCAGTGTGACAACGAATATATTTTTCTGTGCTTGTGAGTGCGGCTGCGGAATTCTTCTTTCGTAAATGCAGTTAAGATAAGTTGCATGTCCACAAATGTCGATTCAGCAAGTTGTCCGAAAATGATGGTATCATAAATTAAGCTCACCAATTTCGTAATGGTTTTGTCAGGTCGGATCTTAGGAAGCTTAGTTCTGGGTCCAGACGCACCCTTCTCTTTTTAACATTTGAGGTTTTCACGGCGGTGACTATGAAGAAAGTGGTCTTCTGGGATATGGCACCATATGCGTTCATGAATATGAGATAATTTTGCTCAAGAATTCAGTCACGTCGAAAATGTTATTGGTAATTGTGGCTAAGGGAAATTTCCTTGAAAATCTTCGAACTATATTGCAAGCTCTTGGCTGAGAATTTCTGTTATTTTAAATTAACGAATGACTCTTTTTTCAGCTGTGCAATGTTCTTCCAGTATTCAGTAAGGAAAGGGGCTTGTGAGGGAACGTGAACGTACCATGTAACTCTGTTCATAATTTTATTTGTTGTCTACTATAAATAAATACAAAATATCACTTTGAGAAATTTGTCCTGTCATCTGTTACACGTCGCAAGCAGGACGTGACATGCAAGGCAGCAATTCTGTACTGGTGGCCTAAGGCTTCGGTATACATTACTTACGTGAGTCTTAACCCCTCCACTGTTACTTACAAAATAGACTAACAAGCTGTACGTTAACAAATATATATATTTCATTCATGCACATGTCAAATTTTATATATAACTCTACACATAAACATTAATTTATTTTTTGTTCTGATATAATTTTCGGAACAAGAGTAGATTTCGCAATACTCCAAAAATTCTGTCTCGCCATAACAGTGAATGGGTTAAAATGAATCGTCTGTATCCATACAGACAAAGCAAAACTTCTGCATGCGAATACAGACAAATCAATTCCAGTTTCTTTACAAGGAAATCTTAAGCTGGTCAGTGACATAATTCAAGAGAATGAATATTATAAATTTTTAGTTTCTTTATCCTGCTTTCGGCAAGACTTTAAATTTAAAAGCTCTTTATCCTCTCAGATCCTAAAGGTATCATTTCACATATCAGGATATTGTAAATTTCTTGTCGCTTCCAGCTCTTTGAAACCCATATTGCTCAAATGCGCAGGTTTTGCGCATGTGAGTAATCTCCCATCACCTGCCAGGGATGAGAACGGAAGAAAACAATTAGTTTAGTTTGTAGTACTCTTCACACTTGTACGTCACAGGAAACCACCAGTTGTCAGAATTTTTAATTTACTAAATTCTTGAAAAGATTAGTTTTGACGAGAGTTTGGCGCCCCAGAAGAAGTTGGCTTTCCACGATTATCTGCAGTAGCTAGGGTCGATGATAAATAATATGGAATATTGTGTTTGAACTGTGGTCCCCAACTTGGATCCAGCTGTAACTTCTGTTTAGCTACCAACAAGACCTTCAACCGTCAGACCTAGGCTCTAAGGCAGCAGTTCTCAGAATTTGGTCTGTGAGACCTGACCAGAGGAGTTCGCAAGGTTATTTTTGTAAGCCTAATTTAAGTTAGAAAAATATTATAGTGAATATTGTCAAAAATATATTGGACTCGGAATTTCTTACAGATGTTTATGTTACGATATAGTGGTGACCAAGGCGTGTGGAAGGATGTGGGGTCCTCGTGTCTGCAGTGTTGGTATGGGCTCCAAGGAAACGAAAATTATAAGAACACTGTCCAAAGGTTTAAGAGGGACTCAAAAGAAAGAGAAGAGTACTGCTTCTGGAATGTAACATAATATAATGACGTAGAAGATTACCGACGTTTCGGAGGAAAGTATTGTCTCAATCTTCAGAGTCATGAGTAATCCAAGGAAGTGACCACATCTTTGATTTCTACCTGCGTCTTACTAGCCAACTGCTTCCCTTACTCGTCTATCCTGAAGACCGAGGCAGTGCCATCTACCCAAATGCCATTGAAATTCTACCGGACTACACAGAGAATCATATCTTTGATGACTCGTCAGTTGACTGCTGATTGTGGTCACGCCCTGAGTTTCGGAACTGCTGCGATGGATCGGTAGGTCAGTGTTGAGTGACGAGTGGTCAGTGAACATAGCCAACAGGTACGGCAGCGTGAGCGATAGCAGGTGTCAATGTTTTGCCCAGGACGGGCACCGAGGTGGGTACGCGGGCCACATCATGGTGTACAGTCTTGAACACTGTTGGATGGTTGACAGCGATGCGTTCCAGCTTGGTGACGGGCTCCACCACGTCAATGTCTTGCACCGTCTCGATGGGTCTGCTGACGACCACGCGGCGAGTAGACACACGCTCACCCGCCGGTTCTGCATGGGGAGGTGCGGGGGTGGCGGACAGGACTCGGGCCCTCACTGGGCCTGCATCGCCCACAGGAAGAGGGCTGGGACCTGCGTGGCCGAAACCGACCTCCGCTACACCGCCGCGAGCAGTCAGCAGCTGGATTAGCCGCTGCTGGTTAGCTTGGTTCGCCTCGGGACTGACGGCGCGGACGGAGGGCACGACATCGGGACCGGCGCGGGCATGAGGGACTAAGTCTACTGGGGCCCCGTTGGCGTGGACCTCGACGGCTGGACCAGCTTTAGCAAGGGGCCCAGTGACACGAGCCCCGGTGTGGGCCCGCGAGAGATGCTGGCGCCGTGAGTCCAGATCCAGCAGGCGCGCTTGCAGCTCCTGCTGTTGGATGTTGAGGGCTCGCTGTTCGGCCTCAAGTTGGTGGCTCTCTGAGGACAGAGCTGCCCGAGCCGCGAACTCCGCATTATCGACAACTACCGACTCCTCGTCCTGAAAGGCAACAGGTCCCGGCTCAGGAGCAGGTCCGAAAGCGGGGGCAGGAGTGGTGGAAACAAAAACCGGTTCAGGTGCCGGGGAAGGGGCGAGGGCGACTGGGGCTGCCACGACAGCAGGCGCAGGATGAACGGGGAAGGCTCCCACGGCCACCGGGCCGACTGGGTTGATAACAGCAGGGCCCTTTTGGATCTTCGCCACGGGCTCTTCCAGCTCCACGAGAGCCGAGCCAGCTGGGCGGACCACCACTCGTTCCTCGATGTCGTAGAACTGCTTCTGGATTGCGGGTCGGCGCAACTGGAACTTGCGGGTGGACACTGCGGGCTTGGCTACGTCCACCAACTTCTGGATCACTCCGGGCTGCGCTTCTACGCGGGTCACGGGCACATCAGCTACCCCTGGCACGTGATGCACAGTGGGGACTGCAGCTACTGTTTTTACGGGTGCTGAAGCGTAGGCAATTCCTGCTGGAGCAGCGTAACCAACAGCAGCAGGGGCTGCAGCTACGGCTGGAGCAGCGTAACCAAAGGCAGCGGGGGCTGCAGCTACGGCTGGAGCAGCGTAACCAACAGCAGCGGGGGCTGCAGCTGCTGCTGGAGCAGCGTAACCAACAGCAGCGGGGGCTGCAGCTAAGTATGAAGCAGCGTAACCTACTTCAGCAGCGGGGGCTGCAGCTACGGCTGGAGCAGCGTAACCTACTTCAGCAGCGGGGGCTGCAGCCACGGCTGGAGCAGCGTAACCTACTTCAGCAGCGTACTGAAGAGGTCCGGCTGCCAACCCAGCAGGCGCAGGACCGTCCACATAAGTGACACCGGCGGGGTTGAGAAACGGGAGCCGAACCGAGAAGTGGCTGCCACCTCCAAGAACGGCCTGTACGACGGCCGCGAGCAGGATCAGTGTTCTCATGGTCCTGCAACAGATAGCGGAGCAGAACGTCGTGACGAAGAGATTCAAGAAAGGAGGAGAATGCGGGGATGAGGAAGGGAGCCCAGCTAACACTGCGGCACGGCGTGCCAGTCTTTGCCCATTCTGACAAAAACAAAACAAAACGAGGTTTATTAAAAAAAAACGCGCTATTTCATCGACAAAGAGATTTTTCTCTTCATTTCCCCCCCTCCAAATTCCTCCTTCACCAGCTTGAAATATTTACTAATTATTCTACGAAGATTTTACACGGAAGTAGAACAGTTCTGTAACGCTGTCATGACAACGAAAACAGTTGAAAACATAATGTCCCACGGGACGTGTGGTGCACACATAAACCAATAAAAATGTGTGAAAGTTTCGAAGTTGGGCAGCAAAGCAGTTCCACAATGCATAGGCATGCAGTGTCATTGTAGTATTTCAACAAACAAATATCCTGCCTCTTGGACAGACCACTTAACGTCGAGGTGGCTAATTAACTTACGTATGGTAAAAACGTAAAGCTATTCCTGTAACAGGCCGTGAAGGCCCACAGGGTTGTGAGAGGTTGAGGCTCCCACATTTTCTAGAAAATCAGCTCACAGATTGCGGTAAGGTTGTCAGCCCTACGCGCTGGCCGCACTTTACCTCCAGGAAGACCCCTGGTACTCATTCCTGTTAGAGACTGAGTCGATCCCAGGCCATAGTACCGATAGAGGAATTAGACGAACTGAAAAATTCAATTACCTCATCGGAAATCGAAACCGCAACGTTCAAAATGATGTGCTAACTAAAAGTAACTAATTGAGTTATTGACTAATGCACTGCTTATTCGAACAGCAAAGTAAATTACAATTTCACATACTAATTGAGTTACTCACTCTAACGTAACACACTCATTCACTGAAAGAACAATTAAATAAAATAAGACCTGAAAGTTTCTGACGATGGTACATTAATACAAATATTATATTTCTGGATATTATCCATCGTCTTGTTTTTATCTAAATATAGAAAGCCGGATAATATTCAGAAACATAATATATAGAATGAACTGAAATTTTAACTAATTGTCTCATTGGATTACTTACTTACTTACTCATGGAGCTGAGCCCTTCTGGAGGAGCTGCCAATTCTTCAGCTACTCAAGAATTTCCCAGCATTTTATGGAACCCGAAGGTTCATCATCGTGTTCACAAGAGCCCTCCATTGGTCCCTATCCTGAGCCAGATCTATCCAATCCATCCCATCCCATCCTATCTCTCTAAGATCCATTTTAATACTGTCCACCCACCTACGCCTTGGTCTCTCCAGTGGTCTCTTTCCTTCTGGCTTTCCCACCAATATCCTATACGCATTCCTCGTCTTCCCCATTCGTACTACATGACCTGCCCACCTCATCCTCCTTGACTTGATCATTCTAATTATACTTGGAGAAGAGTACAAGTTATGAAGCTCCTCATTGTGCAGTTTTCTCCAAACTCCTGTCACTTCATCCCTCTTCGGTCCAAATATTCTCCTTAGCACCCTGTTCTCAAACACTCTCACGTTGGATAAATTACTTAAATTCGATGTAATAAACCTCTTACCTTCCTTCATCCCTAACATGAAAGCGTGCTACTGGACTCTGAAGTAGGTTTCTGGAAATGCTACATCTCTATTGAAGTCTCCGGAAACTGCAAAATCTTTTATATAATAATATATCACACAGACTTGCTTTATACCAGATTGATTCTAAATTATTGTCGGGGATTCCGTGGGCTATAAACGGAAACACCGACAATATTGTGGAANTTATTTTTGACTTATAATGTGTTTGTCTAATGTTTGTATAATGTTACACGTAATTACTTTCATCTACACTGTGCTAAGTCTGTAATTGGCCTTGCGGCTGTTGACTTGGCACATAAATAATAAAGAATTGAATTGAATTGAATTATTATTGTTATTATTATTATTATTAAATTTAATCAGGTTTAGTCCTATATTATTTTTCCTGTTATGGAGGTAGTGTCAAAATGGGAATGAAGTGAGCTGTCCTCTGGTTTGCAATGCAGTTCTGGAGGAGCCCGACGTTTAGAAGGAATATATTGCCTACGTGTGCAGGGTTAAAGCGCCTCCTGCTTCTGCTGCTCCTTGGTATGCCTACATTCTGACGCTGAAGAAGGAGCCAATATCTTCCTGCCCCCAAACTACATGGAGCTGCAACCCAAAAGTCGCATCTCAAATCCAGTGTAAAAAAATGCTTTCTCAGATGAAACAGAATTTCAGAAAAAAATATCTTGTCGGACTTATAGGGTTTCATACAAGAAGTGATTTAGACCTATTTACTGTCATCTGTGAACGAAATTAGAACACATATTTGGAGAAGTGAATAGAAACTGCAATTCTTTGCTACACATTTACGAAAATGTAGTTACGTCCTTAACTTCACAGATATATGACGTCACGATTCCGGGTTTATACCCCGCTTGAGTCACTGCTACAGAGATATATATCTATAGGACTGAATATGCCACACTCACCACTGACAATCTTCCACACTGTCGATGATAGAAGTGTATACACTCAGAGCCGTCTGCTGTGGGGCTTATATACACACGTGGTCAAGTAACCTGTGACACATCCCTCCCTGCCATTCATATACCACTGGTTGGCCAGGATACTAAACCACGCCTCAGTGAAAGGGCGGGCCGCGGTGTCGCGCGGTATTCAGAGCAGGTACGGAACAGCGAAATTCTGAGGTCGGCAGCTGAGAGCGTAGCGTCTTCCGCCCAGGGGTGTCAATAGCATCTGTCCCACTGCCTCGTGCGCATAGCGCACTTAAGCTGCCACACCATGTTAATAGTTTTTGTGATAAACGACGCTAAAAGTATCGAGACAGTCCAAAGTCAGATGTTGTAAAGACTGATGAATTGAAATTGATTTGGTAGAAAGAGGCCGTGTTATAACTCAGTTACTATCAAGACATTTGCCTGGACTGACTAAGGAAAATCACGAAAAATCTCAGACGGGGTAGCAATTGACCTCCAAGTTACACTGGATTTTGATTAAATTTGGCAGACTAAATGTTTCATGCGACTTTGATTCACGTTCATATCGGTTACATAACGTCACGTGTTCTGGGTTCCGTGACTAATAATAACGAGTTTTGGAGAGGACTGGATTTATTAACACCTTATACAATCAACTCTCACTTATATGCAACACAGCGCCATCGCTGATTTACACAAATTACAGTTCACCGTTACACACGCACGAGTCTTCACTAGTTGTATCCTGGTGACAGAATTGGAACAGTCTCACTGTGACTGAATCTTCTAACCACCCGTTAAGACTCCACAGGCTGACTGCTAATTATTCTTCAACTACTAACTTCCCGTCGCTGTATTCTACTGATAAACCTCTCTGCTCCTTCAAACTGCATCCCTTATAAAGTCGCTGTATGGACCACGAAGCACAGGAAACACATCATCTCCTTCGTTGTAGAGGCTTGTTACAACGAAGTTGTCTAGCAAAGAATTTCGGAGCGAACTACATAGAAAACACCTTTCATTCTTGTCGCGTAATATTATAGCCGTGTGTTTATTGGTCCGATACTCAGCAATGGATGTCCTTTATTGTCGCGTATCCTTGTGCACAGCAACGGCTGTTTACCAAGAATCTGTCTTCACGGGAACGTGTTTACCGAGCTGTTGCCTAGCAGTGGGTCGATACGTCACAATATGAATTACACATGAACTTCAAGAATAAATTCTTATAGTTTCTCATAAAGGTTCATGCTGTATAGAAAAACATGTGTATAATGTAAGCAGTCAGGCTTAATTAAGATGTTAATATTCCTTTAGGGTAAAATTATTACGCCATATCAGTGGCATTAAGGCAGAACAACCATAAGGTTGCCATGAGCAGGGAAGAATATTGAAGTACGGAGGTCGGGCTATTGCACAGAAATCCCTGTACAAGATGAGCTTCAGATCTACGCACTTCACAATTAAATTTTATATTCTACAGAGTTACTGAAATGCAGGAAGAAAGAACTGAGCAAATACCGGATTAGCTATCTGAACCAACTGTGTTCACTTTCGTGACCTGAGGATGGAAGGGACGGGTATCTCTGAAACAAATGTATTTATCTACCAAGGTACGCTGTGTCATTTCCCTGAAGACAGTAATTCTCAAGTGGACACAATATTTCAGCAGATCTATCTATCTATCTATCTATCTATCTATCTATCTATCTATCTATCTATCTATCTATCTATCTATCTATCTATCTATCTATCTATCTATCTATCTAAATCTTATACACAGTCGGTAGGTCTCCTTGGACGGAGAATCAGCCCGCCCTAAGGACACTACCTACAAACAGAACAACACAAACAGAATAAACTCAAACAGACATCCATGCCTTGAGTTGGTTTTGAACCCACAATCCCAGCGTTCGAACGAGCGAAGAGAGTTCAAGCTTTATAACGCGCGGCCACTGTGATCGGCTTTCAGCAGAACTACTTACTTACTTACTTACTTACTTAGCGGCCTCCGTAGTCTAGAGGTAACGTTCCCACCTCATGACTCGTTGTACGCGGGTTCAAATACCCGGCGGAGGTCGTCGAATTTTTGAGGGCGGAAAAATTCAGGAAACAAGTCCTCCGGGAGGGACTTTAAGCCGTGGGTCCCGTGTCGTAGCTTTACGGCACGTAAAAGAACCTCATACTTCCAAATGAGGTCACTGAGCAAAATTGCGGACGTTTGCCGCCCAACAGCATTCACTAATACCTCCGGTAGATTGGGGAAGCATTATAGATATTTCTCAGCCAGTAGAGAGCCGGTCTCGCTGGCTGGGCGGGACTGATGGTAAGGACCAATACCGGTAGGATATAGAGGCTGGTAGAAATCATAGAGGGAAGCACAATGGACCACTACAGGTCTAAGTGCATGGGGAAACCCACCCTCTCTAATAACTAACTAACTACTTACTACTTACTTACTCATGGAGCTGAGCCCTTCTGGAGGAGCTGCCAATTATGCAGCTACTCAAGAATTTCCCAGCATTTTATGGAACCCGAAGGTTCATCACTGTGTTCACAAGAGCCCTCCACTGGTCCCTATCCTGAGCCAGATCTATCCAATCCACACCATCCCATCCTATCTCTCTAAGATCCAGTCTAATATTGTCCACCAACTTACGCCTTGGTCTTCCCACTGTTCTCTTTCTTCTGACTTTTCCACCAATATCCTATACGCATTCCTCGTCTCCCCTATTCGTGCTACATGACCTGCCCACCTCATCCTCCTTGCCTTGATCATTCTAATTATACTTGGATGGAGAAGAGTACAAGTTATGAAGCTCCTCATTATTTCAGCAGAACTACAACAAATTAAAAATTGCTGGGATCAAGGAATGGAGTAAGTTCACCAAAGAGACAAAGCAGATGAAAAAGTGTCTTACCTCTTTCACTGCTAGATGATAACAATGCTGTCAGGGAAGAAATGGTATCAATCCAGTTGTAGTGTGAACAGTTTCGCAACAAGGCACATGTATCAGGAACGAAAGAACATACGTGAGGTTGACATTCTTTTACTTCTGATATTGAAGGAAATACATAGTCACGCATATTACAGTGCATTGCAAATACAGCAGAAATTTACATAATTTGGTATACAGATAGTAGTAGTCGAAGATGTAAATATTACGTCATATCAACTGTAAGAATTTAGAGCAACCGAAGGGTAAATAAGTAGATTGTTGAAGTTAAGGATATGAACTTTTACCGCTACAGGTTTCGCAACTAAAATAAATGAACATTAAAGGTAGTGGTGTATGTAAAGTGGCAAAGGAAACATTTTAAAATTGGCTTTATGTACATGCGTATACAGCCAGCTCCAAATTAAGACATACATACACATCTGTACCTGCTATCTCCCTTCCTGCTTCCTACTTTACTAACACCACTACGTAGACATCGTGAGAAATGGCAGGAAATTAAACCACTTATAACAAAATCAAGTGCAGATGTCGGGGAAAAATAAATTTACCTTAATTAACTAACTAACGAATTAACTTCATGGAGCTCAGCCCTTACTGAGAACCCGACAGTTGTGCAGCTACTCAAGAACTTTCCAGCATTTTATGGAACCCGAGAATTTTTTGCCGTGTTCACGAGATCCCTCCACTGGTCCACATCCTCAGTCAGATCAATCCAATCAATACCATCCCATTCTATCTCTCTAAGATCCATTTCAATATTGTCCACCCACTTACGTATTGGTCTTCACAGTGGTCTCTTTCCATCTGGCTTTCCCACCAATATCCTATATGCAAATCTTCTTCTATCCCATTCGTGCTACATGCTCTGTCCATCTCATCCTCCTTGCCTAGATCATTCTAATTATACTTGGAGAAAAATACAGGTTATGAAGCTCCTCATTATGAAGTTTTCTCTAAACCCCTTTCACTCTCTTCCTCTTCGGTCCAAATATTCTCAACACCATGTTCTGGAACACCCGCAGTCCATATTTCTCCCTTAATGTCAGAGACCATGTTTAATACCCGTACAGAACCACAGGCAAAATTAGAGTTTTTTATATTCTAATTTTTAAGTTTTTGGACAGCAGACGAGAAGACAAAAGTTCTGAACTGGATGGTAGCAAGCATTATGCGAGTTCAATCTCCTCTTAATTTCCTCCTCAATCAGGTTTCGATCTGTTATAGTCGTTCCCAAATATCTGAACTGTGGCACATTTTCAAAATATCTGTTAGCTATATATATTTATGTATATTTATGTCATGATTTTGCCCTGCATTCTGATAACGAAACAGCAACATTTACTTAGATCTCTCTGCATTTACTTCTTTAACCACTTTCTTACTAGCATGAACTAAAATTACTGTGTTTTTCTTTATCGCAACTACGCTATGAGCCAGTAGATTCACATCATCAACATCGATCAGCAGCTGATTTATCCCATTTGATTTCAGTACCACCTGGTTTTCCTGCACCTTCATAATGGCATATTCTGAAGCAGAATTCAGAAGCAGTGGCAATAAAGCCTCCCTGGCACTTTTTTTATTGCTAGTGGGGTGGGACTGGGACACGCGGTAGCGTAGTTAGTTGAGGGGCTATGCTACAAGCCGGAAGGTCGCGGGTTCAAGGCCCGATGAGGTCATTGAATTTTTTTCAGTTGACCTAATCCTTCCAGCGGCACTAGGCCCTGGGGTACCAGGAATTAATTAAATAATTTTCCTGGGGAGTAAAGTGCGGCCGGCGCGTAAGGCTGACAAACTTACCGCCATCTTTGAGCCGATTGTCTCGATAGTGTGGGTCACTCAGCGTCTCACCACACTATGGGCCTTAACGGCCTGGTACAGGGATAGCTTTTTTTTTAGTGGGGTGGGACTAAGTCCCTTGTACTGCGGCCACTTCTGCCTATTGTACCAGCCCCAGATGATAGGTGAGGGTGATTTTGGAGCAATTGGTCGAATGAACATTGGCAGGGGAAACCGAAGTACTCGGAGAAAAGTTGCCCCAGAGCCACTTTGTCGACCAAAAAT